GTAGGGTGTCAGATAAATGGGCACTGTAGTAATACGTCAATTATATTCCTTTTTTACAGGAACCTCAAACCTCCCGTGATCCACAGGGACGTCCATCAAACGGTACACTTTTCCACATCTCACTAAAAATATCGCAGCGTGACTGGCTGATGTTTGCTAACAAACTTGGGTTTACTGAAATCGAAGTGGAAAAAATTAAAAGATTGGCCCCAGATAGACCCAGGGATCAGGTATTGAATGTAATTTAAATCGGAAAAATATAGTTTGCATTCCTAATTTTTGAATAATTAATATTGACCCTTGATATTTTTTTAGGTGTTTGAGCTTCTTCAGCGATGGATTGCTCGTGATGGTATGATGGCAACCAATTCTACCCTTGAGGGCGCTCTAGTTGACAGTGGAATGGCGGATGTTGCACACGCAATGCATGCTATGTCGAGAACGAGTCTTAACCGACCACTTTAACCTATAACAAAATCGTCAAGTTCACTGACCATTTTCAACACTGTTGGCATTGGATTATCCAATATATTTATTATTCACTTGAAGCGGAGAGGTAATCGCCACTTGCGTAGGCGTGGGAATTAAGACCTAAGCGACGATGACAATACGCGCTAAAACCGCAAGGGCTCATGGGTAGACGCTTACAACGACACGTTAGGTATTGACTTAAAAGAGCGGGAGATGCGTTTTGCGTCATTTGTTTAATAATTCAGTATTAGTTCAATATTCATGATTTTTGTAATTCTCGAAATAAATTTCTTATTTTATTATCGTAATTAGCGTTTCTCCAAATACCGTTCTAATTCTTGGGTTTATGATGCCGGTTTGTCTAGGCAAGTTTGTAGACTTGTTTTTATTTTATTTTGAGATTACAATGACATTGGACTAGTTTGTCTAGGCAAGTTTGTAGACCACTTGATTTTGATTACTGTTTCTATGACTGGTTGAACAGTTTTCAACTGGCATACTGCAAATTGAATAGTATTTAAATATTTATAAATTAACAGAAAACTACATCAACGGGTAATCAGAAACATGAACTCAAAGTATACTGACACTATATCTGTCATAAAGTCTATAAGATGAATAATAGAAAGACACAAGGATGACTCAGAGTCAATTGAAGAGTATCAAGACCATCGTAACTCGGTTCAGTGTTTTCTATGTACATTGATTAAATGGAAACGCTTTTTTGCGAGTCGTAACATACACTGTGCTTATTTAGCCGTCCCTTCAAACCAAGATGACTTACAACATTATGAACACTAGCTCCTACTAATATATATTGATGTATCATGTTGTAGTTAAGTTGAAAATACAACATCTTGTACATTACTTGTACATTCTTTTCCATTTGAAAAAAATGACTCGGAGAACAAAATCGACTTGTGTACAAAACTCTTAAAGGGTGGCAGTCGTCGTGTCGCGTCCTGTTCGATATGGGACTCATAGCGACGTATACAACGCGTGTAAAATACATTGTTTATTTACATGAAATTCGAACACGCGCTGCGCGACGACCACCGCGCTTTAACTTAACGGTTACTTTCTATCACTACAGTTTTCTTATCTACTATAATATTTCAGTTCTCTACACAGTCTTTTAAGTGTTGTGGCTTTCTGACAATATGGTCTGGTGGATTGTTTTCATAGGATGCTTTAACGTTGCTACTTGAATTTTCACGTGCACTTCCTTAATGGATTGTGTGAAATGATGATTGACTGCTTGTTCATAAAATGCAGAGCAAAGCAGAGCTATTCAATTTGATATACATGTACATGTTTAAGCTAAATTTACTTTTCTCATTAAGTTCTTTGCCGTGCTAGTTTTCCACCACACCACTGTTCGGGCGAAGATGCAATGTGCTCAAAACCTACAGATTTTCTTGAATTTCTCTGATGATTCCGAACAAATTTATTAGTCCATGACAAGCAAATTGCGCTTTGAGGTTTCAAATGACAGTTTTCGCTCTTATGTCTTCTAAGTAGCCAACCACTCAGTAATAGTCAATTGTGACCAAATAAACTGATCAGTTGAGACTTTTGATAATGCTCGCCCTGGATCTACTAGTAATAGTGCGGCACTAGTTTTCTCTATGCTGTCGCATTTCTACTGCATTTATATGAGTTCTCAGAATATATATTCTTTAAAATATCCACCCACGTCCAAGTTGCTATAATATGTACTGCATAAATTTGACCATGCTGTCTCGACGTACTTGTGCACTGGTTACTAATATATATTCATATCATCATGTCATAACTCAGTAGAAAAACAATAACTTGTTACATCGGCGTAGCATGGAGATTGCCCGCATCCTGTTTATTCGAACACACACACCAGATGTTTCATCAAGCATAAAATTAACCACGCAATTAGTCGTTTAATATAGTTTTTAACGAAGTGTACTAAATTAATTAATTAGCGATGTAGTCAACAGATGACTACGTATTTATGTCGTACAGCATAGAATAATTCCTATTCACGTGGGCTCTGCTGTTTATGTTGGAAATTTAAAAGTCTTGTAATGGGTCACGACTTTCTGAACTCTATATATGATATTTTTAGACCTCGTAATGTGTAGCTCGTATCGTGTGACCTATTTTGGAACTCAAACAATGAGCTGTTATCACCATAAGTAGAAAATGCCGGTATTCTAGGGATTGTTTACTGTCAGAATTGCACCGCATGATCGGGAACCGTTGCTATCTGGAAAACCTGACTAATTACATATATTAATCATCTAAACGCAACCACCGAGTCGCAATGGTCCAGGGCGGAAGTGGTCTTGCTCCCAATAATGCGGGATTGTGCGGGTGCTGCACGAAGCATTCCAAATTTCTGGGTAAACTTCGAACGAGTGTCATTCTTACAATTACGCTGCTTGTGTACCTCTTCATGGGGACGTTTATATTCCAAGTTATCGAAGGGGCAGGGACCAGCAACAAATTCTACGGTCGTGTTCCAGAGATACGAGACAACTTCACCGCTGAACTCACTCAATCATGCAACGTTCTGGGAGAAGCTAATTTTAGTGAAGTTGCTTCCAAACTTTTGAAGCGATTTGAAGATATTTTGCAGAAAGCAAGCGTAGGTCCGACGGGGGCCGAGCTCTGGTCATGGACATCAACATGTTTATTCTGTGTCTCTGTTATCACAACGATAGGTAAGCCCAATATATTCGCCCACCTTGTGAAATGTATTACGAATAGTATTAGAATATTAATTACTAGCAAATATTTTTTTTGAAAGACAGGTATATATACACATATAATTATTGCCACGCTATAATTAACATGAATCGGGGTATTTTATTATTATTATGCATGTCCCGAGGGCAGTTAACTGAATTTTACTGTGTTGTTTTATGTCATAATGTCCACAAAACCCGGATAATTAGTTTATTAATGGAAACTATGTTCACCACTTCTCACACAAATAAGGGCACACCCTATTTCTACTGTTGAGCTATTCCCCATTGTTCTTTAGTGTGAAAATGGATTAATTAAAATTATTAGTGATGTCTGAAATTTATCATTCAATTTTACTGCTATATGGATTCATATTCTGGAAATGTTTTCGAAATACACGTCTTTTTTTTTTAATTTGGAGTTTTCACTTAAATCGAATATTGAACATAATGAATGGCCACAAATGAGTAGACCTAAACTCACCAATTTACAACACGTCTATTGGTTATATTAGATCACAAATATTGTAATCTTTACTGTATGATAAATGGCATAATGGTAGCGTTAATGATGTCCGTCAATCATTGAGGAATCGCGTGTCCGACTCTCATCGTCGGCTGTACACTTAAATAGCTAATAAAAAGAGGCATATTGTCGCTTGCTGGTTTGCGGCATTCAGTTTTTGGCACTTTACGAGCAGTCGAAGGGGATAACTGGAGATCTCACCCTCATTCCATATGCCATTTCATTTGCTCTGAAAATTCATTAATTGGAATCTTGAAGAATATTGAAAGCTGTCGTGGTATGGAGACAGTAATAAATGAAATGTACTAACTAATAATAGAATTATACCACCTTATTTTCTATTATAGTTAATTATAAATAAAAATATGACCACCGTAAAAAATACCCCATATCAATACTGATATAGATGTTTATGAAAATATTATATATCAAATATTAAAATACAGCAACAACGTTGGTTTTTCACCAGAGAATAGATGAATTTTGTTAGATTTGACAGATGGCAGCTCGTTTGAACAATGTTTATACTCTGATGCAGATATGCCATAAATAATAAAAATGTAAAAATTTCGACACATGTTGTTCAAGGCTAAACGTAATCAATCATTCACCGAAGCGTGGTCTACGTCGAACAGGTCAAATGTCAAGTATAATGGTTAATTTAATAGTCTACACCACCGTCACCACCACCATTAAAAATACTACTACCTTCATGGTCCAACTGCCAACACGACTACCACCGCCCACACCGTCGTCACGATTCCAACCACTAACGCTACCCCCCCCGTCATCACCATCAACAGAAACATAAACAACATCAACGACATCAAAAACAGCAATTAAAAGTTGCAACTACGACAAAAACAATGACTACAGTGACGACGACATCAACAACACGAACCACAATGACGACGTCGACGAAAACAGCAATATTATTAAATGTTAGTATAGAAAGTAGCTTAGCTTTAGATAATATTGCCTCAATTTTCTAATTGTATACAGACCACTCTAACACAATATAATATGCATTTAAACACGAACAGATTGCAAAACTCAAAACAAAACAATATTTAATAATAAAACATAAATCCAATAATATCAATATTTGGAAAATTAAATCAATAAAATATTTCAATTTATTTAGTTATTTATGGCGAATTTTTAATTACAAACTCTAAAATTAGATGAGATCTGCTCGCCTGTTTTACGACATATATAAAACATTCGCATAAAAAACAAGAGGTTTAGGTCATTTACGACATGCGCATGCTTACCTCACTACTCACAAACGAATTGGGTGGATTACGTCATGCGCATGCTTACCTCACTACTCACAAATGAATTGGGTGGATTACGTCATGCGCATGCTTACCTCACTACTCACAAGTGGATTGGGTAGATACGTCATGCGCATGCTTACCTCACTACTCAAATGAATTGGGTGGATTACGTCATGCGCATGCTTACCTCACTACTCACAAGTGGATTGGGTAGATTACGTCATGAGCAATTACCACAATTCGCCCACAATAAAATAAATAATACAGTGATCAAGTCATTTTAGATGTATTATGTGTATGTATGTGTCTTTATTTTTATCTCCAGGCTATGGTTACTTGGCACCCGTCACAGTTGGTGGGAGAGTTTTCTGTATGATGTATGCTTTGGTTGGGATACCCCTCAATTTGGCATTCCTCTCTTATGCTGGAGCCGTCGTCGCCATGCCGTTTCAATTCGTCATCGAAAGATGCATACAGCACATGTCAAAAACACACAATCAAGTTAAAAGACAGGTTAGCAATAGCTATATAACTAACCACCAAACAATTATGGAAATACCTGCCTCGTATGAGTATACAACAGATACTCAGAGTATCACAGGCATATCACGTGACTTCACCGGGACTGTGACGAACACACCATGTGAGAAAGATGCGACTTGTCAGAGGAAAGGTGCCGATGCACGTACTTGTACACACACGGAAGGATACACGAATTGGAGTGCAATGAATACCATTGAAACTGAGAGTAGGGGAACAGAGAACGCTCATGACCAGCCATCTATGGATGAAACACCAGAAGGTGTTCAGGTTCAACTATCTACGGATGAAATACGTCAAGGTGTTCCGGATTTCTCAACACCCACAACAAACTGTGAAGACTTGAATAAAAGTGCGAGCCAGGGGAAAATCTACATTTTTCGGTGTAGGAAAATTGAATACAATTCCCCGAGAAACCTTATATTGGCGCTAACGGATGATGCTGATCAGAACAGTTCTGTGACTATTTCGCCATCAACAGATGAACAATCTTACCTCTTACTCATAACGAACCAGCCAGGCAAAACACCCCATACGCTACCAGATGCGATACATGAACATAAAGTGTGTGATATTCAGTATTTTGATATAATATCTCACCAGACAGAAGCGGAAACTATGACAACAGAGGTCAGAAAATCATCTTCAAGTCAGATGTACGTAAGGCAAGAAAGGATCGCTGCGCAAACATGCAGTAGCACTGAAGAAGAAAGCAGTGAGAGTTATAACAGCGTCCCAATCTCCCTTCTTGCAGTTATGCTTATTCTATATACATGTGTTGGTGCTGCAATATTTAGGCTCTATGAAGACTGGAGTTATTTTGATTCATTTTACTTCAGTGTCATTACTATAACAACCATTGGGTTCGGCGATATGGTACCAACTTTGGAGTTCACTTCAGGCGAAAAACAACTAGGAGCTGCTTTGGTTATGGCGTACATAGTTATTGGTTTAGTTATTTTATCTGTTTGTTTTACGTTATCTGAAAAAAAACTCATAGCCAAAGTCAAAAAACTGCCGGGAAAGTGTAAGAAATGTAGTAAAGACTCCGATTTATAATTTTAACTTTATTATTGAATTGATTTTATACACCACTGATTACATGACGATCTCCATATAGATAAATTACACTCTCAGACTGGGAGGCTTGAATAATGCACTCTGGGAGGTAAATTGGCAGGTATATTTGTATAAAGCATTCTGGGAGTTAAACTAGCAACCATATTTGTAAAATGGACTCTGGGAGGTAAACTGCCAGGTATATTTGTATAATACACTTTGTTAAACTTGCGGCAAACACGTATAATGCACTCTGGGAGTTAAACTGACAGTCATATTTGTACAAGCCGGTAGGCTGGTTGGCGATCCGCTCCACTAAAAAAACAAGCAATATGTTTTCTGCTGTTTATAGCAAAACTTGGCCCCGTATACGAAGTTCGCAAAAAACATTCAGTTTTTAGAAGTCACTTTACTTCATTACTAGGACGTATTCTGCCGTTTTGCGATAGTATTTCCTAGATTGAAGGCAGCATTTACAGTTCATTCTAAGTTCAAAGTTGCGTTGCGATTACGTTGATACAGTGCAACAATGTCGGCGCCGGAGATCTCTTATACCAGTGTGCAGCGTAGCCAAAATAAAAAGCATGACTATTTGAACACAGCTATTACAAGACTGGTAGGAGGTAATAAATTTAGGACGAAAGTATTCCAATTATTCCATATATATGTATACGTTGATGTCTTGTAATCTACATATATATGTACATGTATACCTTGGTGTCTTGTAATCTACATATATATGTATAGCTTGATGTCTTGTAATCTACATATATACGTATACCTTGATGTCTTGTAATCTACATATATATGTATACCTTGATGTCTTGTAATCTACATATATATGTATACCTTGATGTCTTGTAATCTACATATTTATGTATACCTTGATGTCTTGCAATCTACATATATATGTGGACATTGATGTCTTGTAATCTACTTATATATGTATACTTTGATGTCTTGCAATCTACATATATATGTATACCTTGGTGTCTTGTAATCTACATATATACGTATACCTTGATGTTTTGTAATATATGTATACCTTGGTGTCTTGTAATCTACATATATACGTATACCTTGGTGTCTTGTAATCTACATATATACGTATACCTTGGTGTCTTGTAATCTACATATATACGTATACCTTGATGTCTTGTAATCTACATATATATGTATACCTTGATGTCTTGTAATCTACATATATATGTGTACCTTGGTGTCTTGTAATCTACATATTTACGTATACCTTGATGTCTTGTAATCTACATATATACGTATACCTTGGTGTCTTGTAATCTACATATACATGTATACCTTGATGTCTTGTAATCTACATATATATGTGGACATTGGTGTCTTGTAATCTACATATATGTTCATTTTGCGAATTACCTTAAACACACAATAATAATTCATAGATTTGCAGAGACAGAGGTAACATTTTTCATTTATTTTAAAAATTATATTACTATTCTGGTACAATGCGTAAATAAAAAAAAATACACAACCCCTCACAAAAATTTATATAAGTAATTACACGAATACTGAATGCAAACAAACTATTCAGTGTAACTGTACATAACAATTAGCAATTAGTTTGAGTAATACACTACCTCTACTTTCAAGTGGTCTGTACTGTTCCCACTTTCCAATGAAGGCACTACTTCACAAGTATAAAATAGTCTTCTAAACTTGACAAGCAACAAAGACATAAAAATTTACTTTCTTACATTTAATCTACGAGTGATTTCAGTTGGAGTACCCAAATCTAAACTAAAACGATTTTGAAGAGCAGCATTGTCTCCACCAGCAAGTACTGGTGTAGTGTTTGTGCTACCTGAAGGACGAAAGACAAACTCATCTGGAACAAAACAAAACAATCAATAATTAACTACACCATTTCCCAACTATTATGAATGTGCTCTAGCAAAAAAATACAAAGAAATTCTTAGCAGCTACAAGTCATTGAGAATGTCAGCCCCCCTGTTCTTGTACTTCTTGTTTTGTAATATATGACAAATGAAATGTCAGCATTTATATATTCCTTTTTGTGCATGTACCAGCTATTTTTGACAAACAAAATGGCTGCCAGTTGACCAATTTCGAAAAAAAATCAAGGATGTGCTTTATTACACCATTAGGTGTTAGCCATATTCTAATTTGAATCGGCTAGCACAACTTGGTGACATTGGGCTACACTTATGTAGATGTAGGTTTTTAGACTTTTTTGTGTCAAATATGACCACCAGTCATCATTTTGTATCTGAATTTATACCAATATGTATCAACCATGTGCCAAGTTTTGGAATGCAACAGACGACATGTGTATCTAGCAAATTAGCTGTTAATTAGCTAATTATTATGCACAAAATGTACTATATAGATTTATAGACTAGCTCTTAATAAGTACAATCCGTAGTGTATATATGGATTATTTAACGTATATCAGTATATAATATAAACAGAATTAATGATTGTAAATCAAAACCTAATATAAAATTATGTTGTATGTTATCAAACAGGAATGCTTGATTTTGATGCATTGAATTTGTTCTTGAACTGAATTGTGTAATGAATGTATGTGCATATCTTAATGAATTGTATTCTCATTAAAGTCCAAAAAAGGAAACACGAAAAACAAAACACTGTGATATGACATGCTAGTACATATACAGTTTGTGAGTGTCAGGGCATGTCAGAAATATTATGCTCTCAAACCATTTTGAATTGAATCTGAAAAACAAAATGATGTCCATCAAGGTCGCATATCGACCAAAGAATATTACAAGTTTGAATGAAATTCATTGTTACAAGACTGAGATACTTACGTTCTGGTCTTGTTGGTGTCTGGTGCATCATGGTATTATCTCTCACAGGGTGGCCTAACACAGCTGTATATAAAGAGAAACATAAATGTAATCACAAGTTGACATAATTTAAGGTAAATATCACATTACTGCATTGACGAGATTGTAAGATGATGGATAAGACATCTAGTGTGCACTAGCTATTGCTCAAATGACAGTTTTATACAAATATGGCACATGGTTGAATGGTACAATATTTATACAAATATGGTACATATCAACTATTTAAAAGTTGACAGCAGACATATTTGTATTTCTCAAAATGATGGCTTATAAGCGTTTTACACAATGCTTATATACTGTACATCAAAGTATAAAACTGTTTACGTCTTATTTATTATTTTTACCTGGTAATAGGCTTTCTTGATGATTTGGCTGAACACTATACTATTGTTTCAGCTTGTCAGCTTCAATTGTTTGGCATATTTATGTATGTGTCTGTTTAACTGAGTGTCAGATATGGTTGATTGTTAAATCAATACTCACATTCCCCAGTTGCTATAGGTATATCGAAAGTGCCAGTCACATTACCAAATTTACCAGACATATCTTTAACACCTGTGTCAAAACTGGAAGCATTTATTGTACGTCTGAAAGAGTGTACATGAAACACAATTAATGGGTTTATAACAGTGATGTCACTTCTTGTAAATTGTTTAACCCGAGGTGTCTACTAAAATGTCAGCTCGAATGTGTCTATGCATGTCTATACATTTTTGAAAGGGAAATTTGACAATACCAGTAAAATAATGTGACAAAAAAAAAATCATCCAACTCCAACAAAAGATGTGCTGTTTTGAATAACCCATGGTAAGCGAGTGTATTAACTATGAGAAAAACACAAACTGCACATGTGCTGAAGAAAACAAACTTAGAAAACTTGGCCTGTCGGTTAATCACAGGGAGGCTTGCAAAGGATGCTGGAAACACACAAAATGTGCGGATTCCCCAAGAAAATTTCAGAAATAAAAGAGAAACCGAGCAAAACCAATAGTTCTAGATCTGTAGCTCTGAAACTAATAAAACATATAAAATTAAAATGGCATACCTTCGAAGAGCATCATACATTGTCTGGACAGCATGCAATGAAAAAACAAAAATATTACATTTGAGATGTTATATAACACACAAATATTTCTTTCTTTCACAACCTTTTGCAAATCAATAATCACTATCGGTGGTATGCATCTTATCTTGTTTTCATTTTCTTATCAACTAAACCTAAATGGTAGGTATAGAAAGAACACATGCATAACATTAAATACCTGTAATTTTTGATATTGTCTGTTTCTCTCCATCAACTTATCTGATACTTCGCTAAATCGTTTTTTAGTTGTTTCTATTTCTTTCTTAGCAGCTGTAGGGAAATCAATGACAATTAAATCCTCTCACTGTAGAAAGAACTCGTGTGTGCTGAAAATTACCAAATCAAAAATAGCCTTGATAACTATATATAACCATGTTGGCTAATATATAGCTATATTAGCTCTATTTTGAGATGCACAATGTTAAAGCAATGTATCCCACAGTATACCGTAGTCTATTGCACTGTGATATCATATGTTTATTTTTTTGCCAACTGGCTTGTGAACTTATGATAACAAATGTCACTCACTGATCAATAATGTGTTGCGATCTACTGCGATAACATTGCTCATACGCTGCTTTATAAACAGGAACATATACATGTATATTTAATAATAGCAGTGAACAACATTCGCTGTTATTTTATTTTTGAATGCTAATCAACATCAAGTTCTTGCCAACCTTCCCTGCACAGGGAAGAGTGTCATCTGCTCATAGTGGCAAGGCCGTAGTTGTGAGTTTTAATCCTGTCCTGTGTTTTATTTTTATATATATTTGTCTGTTAAGTATATTACATAAAATTATGATGAGCAGTGGAATAGACATACAAACACACACACAAATAGGGTAACTAGAAATATTTCTACTGTGTGTTTCATACACAAGAGTAAGCAATTACATAGAGACATATTTAAAATTAACATAACTTGAATTCAAAGAACCAAATTATGTTGTAAATGTCAATTTTACCAACTGTCATTCATTTAAAATTCCAAATATAGGTCATTTGAAGCATGTTTAATATCAAATGTTTAGAAAATTCTT